GCGACTTCACCCCCCATGTTCCCCCCCCATCACCATCACTATCATCATCATCATCATCATCGTTGTTATCATCATCATCATCATCGTCAATCTACCCGTCCAACCCCCTTTTTAACCCTACCTACCACGCTACCACCCAATCAATCGTAGATAGGATCGCTCCGCCCTCGATTTACATCAAAACTAATTTATTCCTTTATTTTTATTTATTTTTATTTCTTGTTTTTAGAACTCATTTGAAATTCATGTAAATTCGAAACTATCTTTCTCGACATTTCTTTTTCAAAAATATTTTCTTTTTCAAAATTTTTGAAAATACCTAGGATTAATCATTCTTTCTCGGCATTTCTTCTTCGGAATTCGAAAATAATTTTAATTAATTCTTTTTCAAAATTTTTGTAATTCAAAAATCTTTTTAAATTAATTAATTATTTTTCCACATTTCTTTTTTTTTCATAATTCAAAATACGTAGAATTAATTAATTCTTTTTCGACGTTCCTTTGAAATTCGAAACTACTTTCAATTCATTCTTTTTCGAAAATTTTGAAAATACGTTAGAATTAAGTAAATGCTTTTTCGATATTTCTTTTTTTTTTTCAAAATTCGACGTTTATTTTTGAATAAATCAATTAATGCTGTAAACACCCTCCCCACCCCCACCCCCTGCCACACCCAAATCTCCACATGCCACCACGCCAAACCAAGACCTCCCAACGCGCAGCCGTCACCGCCGCTGCCGCCGCGTTTGCCTCCACCTCATCCGCCGCCGCCGCCTCAGCCACCGCATCCACTCCATCTTCCCCAAACATGGCACAATCCTCCAGCATCGATATGACCGCCGTCAACACCCTGTCTGTTGACAGCCTCGCTCGCAAACTTACGGGCGAACAAAGATCCAAGCCCGTTGCCACCGATATCGCCACCCTCATTTGCATGATGTCCTCTTTCCAAACGGACATCCGTGCGTCTATCACAAAAATTGAAACCAATATCTCTGGCCTATCCAACCGTGTGACCTCTATCAAGCATCAAACCCCAACAATCACAGTCGTCACGACCACGGCACCCACCTCTACATCTGTGCCCCTCAAGTCCCAAACCACTACCCCCTCCATCCAGGTGGTCACCACCACCACCCCCACGTCCACAGCCGCCTCCAGCCACTCTCCACCGCCGACCTCCTCCACTCCTACTACCTCTACCACCACATCCACCACCTCTGCCTCCTCCACCCTTCCCCCCCCTCATCCGACGCTTCCAGCACACCGCCTCATTCCTCGCCTAACCACGTTACCCCTCTTCGATACTATCTCACAACCCATCAAGATGACCTCCACCATCCCCACCCCCCGTCCCACCTATTCCCAAGTCACCTCCCGGGTTTACCCGGCAATGCCACAACTTCCCCCGAACTACCTCCTTGACGACAACAGCCAATTCGATTACACATGCTACGACACTACCCCCGATAACCTAAACTTCAACACCCTCGCCCGGCTCGTTTCCCGCGAGGAAGAAATCCCCCGTTCCTTCCGATCCGCTGACATCATGCCCTTCTCCGGCCTTCCCCACGAGGACGTTTTCCTCTTCCTTACCCAGCTCCAGAACTCTTTTAAGCTCCACCACATGCCCCTTGTCCACTGGCTTCCCATTGCCACCTCCCGCCTCCTCGGCAATGCCGCCAAATGGTGGATGGCATAAGTCAGCAACCGCCGCGCCTCTGGAGGACTGCATCACTCCTTCCTCCAATGGGCCAACCTTCTCACTGCCACCTTCGGCCATCCGCTCCCTCCGCCATCACCTCCCCACCGCCGTCATTCCGGACTTTGCGTTCATCTCCCGCATCAAGCGAGTATGCAACAAAGATCTTGCAACTGCCCTCGCCCACGAACCCGACATGCCCCTTGCTGACCTCCTCTCTTGCATGCTTCACCACGATCGACTCCTCCACCCCCATCACCAATCCATGCCCGCTCCCTCCCGCCCCCGCTTTTTCCATAACATCACCCCTGACGACACGACTCCATCCACCTCTGATGACGACTTCGACACTGCCTCTCTCGACCCCTCCGAATTCACCCTTGAGGACCTCCAGGCCGCCCACCTTATGCGGATGGAACGCCAAGCTTGTGCCTCCCGACCGCCTTTTTCCTCTCCACCCTGTCGTCTCCAGAAACTCACACCCGAAGAACGCATATACCTCCAGGAGCACAACGAATGTTTTTGTTGCCGCCAGTTAGGTCATCAACAGACCAACTGCCCCAACGCTAGCCGCTTTACTCGACAAGCCCCTCGCTCCGCGGGACCCGGCCCTTCTACTTCCACTTCTCCCTCCACCACGACATTCGGGCCCTCCTCCACCTGAACACTGTCCCCCTGACTCTTGCAACCCTCCCCCGGCATCGACCACTTGTCTGTCGGCTCTCCCATCAGTGACGATCTCTACCCCATCGGTGGCTTGGCATCGACTATCCGTCTGCCTACCCCCTCCCTAGTGATGCACATCCCATCGGACGACCCCCAGGCGACGCAGTCTACTCCGCCTGGCCCCCCTCCCGACGACGTGTGCTATCCCGTCGGTTGAGCTTCCCACTGGCACCTGCTCTTCTACTCTCATCCCTAACCCCTCCACCACCTTCTCCGATCTCGTTGAGGAACAAGCACGACACGATCGGCTTGTTAGATTAGGCTTGGAACAACGCCGCCTCAGCACCATGATCTCTTCTGCTTGTGCTAGAACCGCACGGTTCCAGTTCAAGTTTATCGTTGTCTGCCTCGGCACATCGACAGTGAAGTTCCAGGCCCTCCTTGATATTGGTGCCACCGGCAACTTCATCACCGAAGCCTGTGTTCGCAAAATCGGCCTCTCTTCCACCGGCTATGACTCCTCGATCACCATCCGACTAGGGGATAAGGACTTAGCCATCGTTGTCGATCGCACTGTCCCCGAGACCCTCATGACTGTCGGTCCTCTTCGCAGTCATGTCTCTTTCGATGTCATGCACCTCATGTGCGACATCGTCCTGGTGACTCATGGCTTGACTGTTTCATGCCCTACTCCTTCCACCCCTCCTTCGTCCGACTCACCCGCCCTCCTGACTCTCCTCTTGATATCCCTTACCTTCTCCCCCCTTCTACCCCACCCCCTGTCTCCCCTCACCATTTCATTCACATGTCTCGTGCACACCCCGACTCCGCTTACTATTGTCTTGTTATCGACCACGAGCGTCCCGAGGACTTGCTTCCAACGGACAAACCCGACCAAGACCCCCCTTCCAATCCTCACATCATCGCTCTCCTCTCTGAATTCAAGGACGTCTTCCCCGAGTCCTTGCCCGCCGGTTTACCTCCCGATCGAGGTGTATCCCACACCATTGATCTCGAGCTCGGCCATTCTCCTCCTTGCCGCCCTCCGTACCAACTCTCCGTCCCCGAGGCCGGACAAATGAAGCGCCAGCTCAATGAACTCCTTGAAAAAGGAATCATTAAGCCTAGCTCCTCCCCCTTCGGAACCAGTTGCCTCTTCGTCAAGAAGAACGGCACCTCGGAACTTCGCATGTGCACAGATTATCGTGCCTTGAACCGGATCACGGTCAAGAACAAGTGCCCACTCCCCCGGATATCTGAACTTCTTGATCGCCTCCGTGGAGCCAAATATTTCACTAAGATCGACCTCCGCAATGGCTTCCACCAGATCCGTATCCGCGAGGAGGACACCCACAAGACCGCATTCCGCTCTCGGTTTGGGCACTACGAGTTCCTCGTAATGCCTTTCGGACTCACCAATGCCCCCGCCACATTCCAGTCCACCATGAACCACATCTTTCGTGACCTCCTCAAAGTCTGTGTCGTCGTGTACCTTGATGACATCCTCATCTTTAGCCCCACCTTCGAGTCCCACCTTCAGCACATTCGCCAAGTCCTCTCGATCCTCTGAGAGGAAAAATGCTACGCCAAGCTCAACAAATGTACGTTTGCCGCTTCGAGCGTCGAATACCTTGGCCACATTGTCTCCGCTGAAGGCATCCGTATGGACCCCTCGAAGGTCACAGCCCTCGTCGAGTACCTCCCACCCAAGACCCTCCTCCAACTCCGTTCCTTCCTCGGCCTTGCCAACTATTACCTCCCATTCATTCGCAACTTTTTCGAGATCTCTTACCCTCTCCACGAACTCACACGCAAGGACGAGCCCTTCAATTTGAACGATCGCCGCCAACACACTTTCGACTTCCGCAAGCAACCCATCACCATGGCCCTTGTCCTCAAGATCGCCGACCCCACTCGCCATTTCTATGTCACCACTGATGCCTCCGACTTCGCCATTGGAGCCGTACTGTCCCAACATTTACCCCGCGACACCGCCGAGACCCCCTCCATCAAGGACTCGCCCACTCACCCCGAGGCTCCACCCGGCGAATACCCCATCGCCTTCGCTAGCAAGAAGCTCCTTCCCGCGGAGATGAATTACCCATCCAACGAGAAGGAACTCCTCGTCGTGATTCACGCCCTCACAGTCTGGCGCCTGTACCTCGACGGCCAATACTTCATCATCCGCATTGACAACACCATCGTTTCTTCCATCCTCACCAAGAAAGACATCACCCCACGCCAAGCTCAATGCTCGACTTCCTTGCCCGGTTCACATTCACCATTTGCCACACACTCGGCAAAAGCAACCGCGTCGCCGACGCCCTCGCTTGTCGCCCCGACCACAAGCCTCCCGAGAAGGTCTACGCTGCCATGACTCACATTCAACYCCTCCCATCACTCCATCGCCGTTACACCCAAGGCTACCTCTCTTGCTTAGACTTCGCCTCTATCTACAACAAGCTTCGCAACCTCGACTCGGTCCCTGACTACTCCCTCCACAACAACCTCCTCTACATCGACAATCAAGGCACTCGTCGACTTTGCATCCCTGACACACGTGGTCTCCGTACCCAGCTCTTGGTCGAGCACCACGACGCCAAGACCGCAGGTCACCTTGGTTTCCAAAAAACCTTCGACACCATGTCCCGCTACTTCTATTGGCCTTCTCTACTCGTCAACGTCAAAACATACATTCGCTCATGTCCCACGTGTCAAGCTCTCAATCCCTCGAACCGGGCCAAACCCGACAAGCTCCAATCATTGCCCATCCCCACTCACCGGTGGCAGTCCATTTCCATGGACTTCGTGTGCCATCTCCCTAAGACCGACCGCGGGCATGATTGCATCTACGCCATTGTCTGCCGCCTGACCAAACGCGCCCACTTCATTCCTTGCACCACCTCGCACACCGCCAAAGACATCGCCTTACTCTTCTTCGACCATGTTGCACGCCACCACAGCCTCCCAAAGAATATCATCAGCGATCGCGATCCCCGTTTCCTCTCGCAGCTCTGGAAACAACTCTTCAACGCCTACGGAACTACACTCAAGTATAGCACCGCATTCCACCCACGGACCGATGGACAAACCGAGAAGATGAACGATACTCTCCAAAGAATCCTACGGAAGTACTGTCATCCACATCAACACGACTGGGATCAGTTGCTCACCGCCACCGAGATCGCCTACAACAACGCTATCTGTCCTTCCACTGGCATGTCTCCATTCTACCTTGACCTTGGCTACCATCCGCACTTGCCCTTTGATTTCCTGCTTCCCTCGCAACTCAACCCCTCCACACCCTGCCCTTCCCTCAATGAATGGGTAGCAACAATGAATCGACTCCTCGGAGAAGCAACCGAAGCCCTCGAAACACAAGAACAACGAGCAAACAAGACCAACAAACACAGACGAGACTTGCAATTCAAAGTAGGGGACAAAGTCTGGCTCTCCGCCAAACGCTTTGAACCAGAACATGGATTGTCAAAGAAACTCTCAAACAAATGGCTCGGACCCTTCCCCATCATTGAAAAAAACTCCGACGTCAACTACAAACTCCAACTCCCCCCCGACATGAACCACGTCCACCCGGTCTTCCACGTCGAATACTTGAAAGAATATCATGAATCCCCACCCCGATTCGTTGACCGTCCATATCCTAGACCTCCACCTATCATGTTACCCACAGGCCCTGAATTCGTTGTCGAAGCGATCATAGGTCGACGAACTACTCAGGTATCTGACCACCCGGAACCAATCAGTGAATACAAAGTCAAATGGAGCGGATACCCCGACGAAGAATCTACATGGGAACCTCTCTCAAATCTCAAGAATGCCATGAAACTTGTCCGCGCCTATGATCGTGCTACTCCTATGTCCTAGACATCCACGTAACTACAACCCTAAACCCCTGTATAAACCTTGCCACAACCTCGCAACCCCGTTCTACACACCCTTGAACCCAGTCCAACATCCCTTGACCCTGATTCCTGATGTCTGATCTGCCCTTGCCCTCGCCTAGCCTTGTCCCATCTGTCCTCTCCGCTACCTTGTCTCTCTCGTCCAATGCTTATGAACCTGCATGACGCCGGCGATAAAGGATCTAATGGCAAGCGCACAAGGACGATGGCCTGCTGCCTCACTCTTCATGGAGATTATGCAGCAGGTTTGGCCACCATGCTGTTTCATCGGCCCACATCCCGACTCGTGGACTTACTGGAGCAGCAACTTGTAACATGGATCTTTGCATGTCTGCGACTTCCTTGCGTCCAGATCAGACCTCATTGCAGTTTGTGTACCGGACGCACCCCAGCACTTGGACTTTGGACATTTGAACTACTGTTACGCTTCTTCCGCTTCTACCACCTACTCCGAGACCTGATCAAGACCGCTGCAGATCCCCTTTCAAGACAATTGGACACTTTGTTCCCACATGAGATTCTGCTTCCGACTCCTTCGGACACACCAGCCCTTGCCTCCTGAACAAACATTTTCATTTTTTTTATTTTATTTTTTTTCCTGACTTTGACAACCCTGTAGAACATCATTAGCAGATCCCTGTTCCCCTGACCATTGTTTCCCTTACCCACTAGAACATCAATAGAAATTCCCTGTTTTCCCCTGACCATTGTTTCCCCTACCCAGTAGAACATCAATAGAAATCCCCTGTTCCCCGAACATTGCTTAGCTTCCCCTACAGACCCACCCAGTCACATCATACCTTCACCTGTGCAGAACACCAGACAGAATACCCTGTGACTTGCATCACTCCCCTTCTCCTTCTCCGACCAGTGATCGGGCCCGTCCCGTCCTTCACAGCTCTTTTTGTTTCCGTGGCTTTTTGGCAGCCGGGACATTGCCTTTCAGAGGGAGGGGATAGTGTTACGGACTCCGCCAGGGCTCGATCCCTGGTCTATCTTTTTGCTGTTTCTGCTGCATCCCGTTTTTGGCCTGGCACCCTTTTTTCCAAACCCCTCCTTTGGTACCGTCAGATTTTGGACAACTGGCGCCATGCTGCAATTCGGACACCACTTTCAAATACCGCATTTTTTAGTTCTGCCCTCCGGGCTTTTGCGGAAATGCCCCTGGTACCATACGTGTCACTGGTACTTATACTGGGTCCCCGTACAGTACGGGGACCAGTCTCGTACCAGTTTTCTGCTGCTGTACTCATACTGTGTGACTTGCTGTTTCCGCATTCGGAATCCAAGACTTTGACTTTGTGCCCTTGCCACTGTGTCCGCGTCCGACCCTCAGTCGTGTCGAGTGAGTGAGTGTGTGTGTGCTCTCACTCTCTCCCTCTCTCTCTCCTCTCCCTCGGTTCTCCCTCAGCCCCGCGCTCGTCAGAAGTACCAAAAAAAGTAGTTCTAGTACCCTGTGTCATTTTTAGGCCTACCGGGTTTGGCCGAATCCTTTTTGGAAAATTTATTTACAGACCTGTCCCCGTAGCGGAATCTGCAGGAATATCCCCAAGGCTAACGAAAAACAGTTAGGGCACCGAACTGAAAACAAACTAAACCACACAAACTCAGATCATTTATAGCATAGACACTCACATGCTCCTGCAAAACCGTGGGTCATCCACCCCATCCACCCACCCATCCGCCCACCCCATCCCTCTATCCATCCCGGCCATCCCTCCCTCACATCAATCCACCCATCCATCCACACACCATCCATCCACGTCATCCACCCCCCCATCCACCCACCCCATCCATCCACCTCATCCACCCCCCCATCCATCCTGCCCATCCCTCCCTCACATCAATCCACCCATCCATCCA